CTTCCAGAACCTCTGTCATCACAGGTGTACTGGAGCATGACCACGCATACAGCTGCCCCTCACAGATCCCAGCTTCCAGAACCTTCTGTGTGTACAGAAGCAGCCACATGCAAATATGCCCCTCACAGATTCTAGCTTCCAAAATCTTTTGTCATCATGTGTGTGCTGGAGCACCACTACACAGGTGTGCCCCTCAACAGATTCCAGCTTCAATCTTCTATCGTGTGCTGGAACACCACCAGCTACATGTGTGCCCCCCGCATAAATTCCAGCTTCCAGAATCTTCTGTAGTGTGTGCTGGAGCACTGCCACGCGCACACGTGCCTCCCACAGATTCTCGCTTACAGAAGACTGCAAATCATCTTTGTCATTACCCGGTGCCTGGCACAAGGCCTGGTAGAGTGCTCATTACTACTCATGAGAACGTACAGTATCAACAGGAGTGAAAAGACTGTGTGTCTGAAGACAAAGCACCGAAGAGTCGATGTTCTGAATGTCAGAATCCTCTGCGCTGGCTGGAAGGCCCCACACAGTGATAAACCGTAGAGTACACCATGTGCTCAGCCCTGGGCTCTCGTGAGCTCGGTCTTCATTCACTAGACCATTCCCTCACAATTCACAAAAACCTCTCCTCCACCACTTTCCTCATTTACTGAAAGTAGTCATCTTGTTTTTATTTGTTTTTTGAGACAACCGCTCTGCGCTCTGTTGCCCAGCCTGGGGTGCAGTGGTGTGATCTTAGCTCATTGCAACCTTCACCTCCCAGGTTCAGGCAATTCTCCTGTCTCGGCCTCCTGAGTAGCTGGGACTACAGGCATGTACCACCATCCCTGGCTAATATTTTTGTGTTTTTAGTAGAGACAGGGTTTCACTCTGTTGGTCAGGCTGTTCTCAAACTCCTGACCTCGAATGATCCGCCGCCTCAGCCTCCCGAAGTGCTGGGATTATAGGCATGAACCTCCGCGCCCAGCCAGTCACCTTAAATTCTCAATAGTCAAAGCAGAATACTACCACTACCTTAAGTTTAGAAAACTCAAAGCTGGAGAACTGAGAATTCTTCGGGTTTACTAAAGCACTAAAATTTTTGTAGTCAGTCACCAAAGGCTTTGAGAAAAGTAGCAAAATCTATAGGAACAAAATCCGTGACATGACACATGCAAAGCTCTGGAGCAGGGCAGAATCTATCAGCTTTAAAAGAATTTAAGTCTCGGCCGGGCGTGGTGGCTCAAGCCTGTAATCCCAGCACTTTGGGAGGCCGAGGTGGGTGGATCACGAGGTCAAGAGATCGAGACCATCCTAGTCAATATGGTGAAACCCCGTCTCTACTAAAAATACAAAAAATTAGCTGGGCATGGTGGCACGTGCCTGTAATCCCAGCTACTCAGGAGGCTGAGGCAGGAGAATTGCCTGAACCCAGGAGGCGGAGGTTGCGGTGAGCCGAGATCGCACCATTGCTCTCCAGCCTGGGTAACGAGAGTGAAACTCCGTCTCAAAAAAAAAAAAAAAAAAAAAAAAATAGAATTTAAGTCTCGTAGCTTTAAAAGAATTTCAATTAAATATATAGTTGCCCTCAGTATCCTTGGGGGGACTGGTTCCTGAGCTCCCTGCAGATACCCAAATCCACGGATGTTCAAGTCCTTTATATAAAATGGCTTCGTATGTGCATATAACCTAAGCACACTCTCCTTTACACTTTATATCATTTGTACATTACTTATAATACCTAATATAATGTAAATGCTATATAAAGTTATTACACTGCATTGGTATTTACTTGTGATATTTTTTTATTGTATTGTTATTTTAGATTTTTCTCAAATATTTCTGATCCACAGTTGGTTGGATCCATGGACATAGAATTCATGGATACAGAAAGTCAACTGTATACATATGCATATATATAAACACACACATGTATATATAAAATATATAAAAACGACAGTGGTTTTTGCTTGTTTGTTTGTGTGTGTGTCTTTTTTGTGGTTTTTTCTTTTTTTTGAGATAGGGTCTCACTCTTGCCCAGGCCAGAGTGCAGTGGTGTAATCAAAGCTCACTGTAACCCTGAACTCCCAGGCTCAGGTGATCCTCCCACCTCAGTCTCCCAAGTGGCTGGTACTACAGATGTGTGCCACCATGCCTAGTTAATTTTTGTATTTTTTGTAGAGATGAAGTTTTGCCATGTTGCTGGTCTTCAGCTCCTGGGCTCAAGAGATCTGCCTGCCTTGGCCTCCCAAAGTGCTGGGATTACAGGTGTGAGCCACCACACCTGGCCTGACAGTGTTTTTGTATCACCTCATTTATATTCCATAACAGTGACTCTGTGGATAAATTATATTTAGATGTTTGAGTCCTATGTCATTCATTTATTAATTCTAAACATTTCAGAATCAAATCCAAGATGAAATACAAAGAACAAGCCACTGTGCTTGACTTAGACACCCAGCCTAAATTGATGGTGATATATCGTCTTTATATCCTTTAGTTCTGATCCAGTTAGACCTTAGTGGGGGAGAAATGCTGAATCCTCATGCCCTACCAAACAAGAATCTATCAGCTTTATAAGAATTGCAATGTTTTAGACACAAAGGTTTTCTTACAGCATTTAGCAGTATTTCAACTAGTACAAAACAGAACTATCTAGACCTACTGGCCCTGAGCTATATTAATTTAGGTTATAATTTTCTGTTATTGGGGTCTGTTGGCTTTATGCAGTTGACATGAGCAGGGTTAGGAGTAAATACTTAAATAACCCTTTACTCATTCTACACAAACAGCATCCTAAAACCTTTAGAGAATGTGCAAACTCCGAAATAAAGTCTCGCTCTCTGAGTCTATCCTCCACCACCACACCTGGGGACACCTGTGTCGGCAAATCCTGCAGGAGGCGCTGTCCCCACACCTGGCTCCAGGAGAAGTTCAGATAAAACCCTTGAGAAATCCAACACTGCTTTCCCCTGAGGACTGGAGAGACAGAAAGACTCATTTCTTTCCTTTCTTTTTATTATTATTATTTTTTAAAGAACTTGTAATAAAAAAATAAAAATACAAGTAACTGTTAACTTATTTCTCAAAACACACTAATGATCCCAAGCACACGACCTGATAGGACGTATTAATAGCTGTCACTATTTACCACCTTTTTTAGGGCATCGCTAAGAGTGGGCGCTGTGCTTTCCTTTCAGGAGCTGTATTTTCTGCCACAGCTGAGTCCTGAAGCCCGGTGTTTCCAGGTGGGCGGAGCAGGCCACAGCCTCTTCCTCCAGCACACACCTCTCCACTCCACACTGATAGCACTAAAGAAACCTGGGGAAGTCACAGCCCTGCCCTGCACCCCCAGAAGCCTAAACTCTTATGGAAAGGACATGCACAAAGATGCTGACGGGGTCTCAGGTCACAGCATCTGTCCTAAAATGACCCCGCACTTGGGCCAGCAGCTTCACGCTCAGTCATTTGCTCAGCAAGGAACTCAGTAGCTGGGTTACTGGAGGGGCTCTCTCAAACCATTCATGGTTCCAGCCTTCTTCCCTGGTAAGGTCTACCCAAATCACACCTGCCCCTGAACTCCTCCTGCCACCACCCAAACCACACGCTCCCGAGGAGGCCTCCAGTATCGCTCCCTGTGGCTCCATCTACTTCCATGGCCACCCTGTGAGGCTCTGCGCTGCTGATGACCGTGCCTCACTCACCCTCGTTCACTTGGCCCAACAAGGATGTGCCCACCTGCTCCTCCTGCACGAGGTCCCCATCTGGGGATTTCCTGTCACCATGCTCACACAGCCCATGTGGCACCAGACGGGGCCAACCTCAGGGGACAGCAGGAGCATGAGCTCCTCCTTGAGTTCTCAGGTGCCAGCACAGTATCTGACACCCGGCTGGGGTCCACGGTGTTCACAGTATTCACCACCGGGCTGGTGTCTATGGTGGTTACACACCAAAAGTCTGTACTGTTTACACTGTAGTGCACTTTTGACGGACTGATACCATCTACCCACCTAGCCCCAAAGGCAGGAGCGATTTGTTATGCTTATTTTCCTCTCAAGGCTACCAGTGTCCTGTACACAAGAAACGTGCAATAACGTGACCCATTCATGCGAATGGTTGAACATTTGAAATTTTATATAAAGTATCCCGTAAACAATGGGATGAGTCACAAAACATAGCAGGAATCCACGTAAAAACAATTTTAAAAAAGAGTTTAACATGAAGAACATTTTGACATCAAAATGACAATCAAGTGAAAAACATTTTTAAAACGTATTCTTCAAAAACAGAAAGAAAGTGTTAGGCAAATAGTTATGCTAGGTCCCAATACTTCTGATCACCAGTAAAACAACCTTACTCAAAAATAAAAAGCAAGCAAGATACGTGTGTACACACATATTACTTCAGTTTGTTTTAAAGTATTAAAAGAGGCTGGGCGCGGTGGCTCACACCTATAATCTCGGCACTTTGGGAGGCTGAGGAGGGCAGATCACGAGGTCAGGAGTTCGAGACCAGCCTGGCCCCAACACAGTCAAACCCTGTCTCTACTAAAAATACAAAAAAATTAGCCAGGGGTGGTGGCGCTCACCTGTAGTCCTAGCCAACCGGGAGGCTGAGGCAGAACAACTTGAACACTGGCGGCGGAGGTTGCAGTGAGCCGAGACCACGCCACTGCGCTCCAGCCTGGATGACAGAGTGAGATTCTGTCTTAAAAATAAATAAATAAAAATGTGGAAAAAAAGCATTAAAAGAAAGAAAAAATAAGTGCTTGCAGACACTATCTACTGAGCCATAAGATCTATGGAGCTTTCTTTCATTAAGAAGCAGAGAGCCTAAGAGATTTAAAATTAAGAAAATTGCATTCAACTAAAATGAGTTTATAACTGAATGTGTATGCTGCAATCCAGTCTGCCGATGAGTTTATGGCACTGTCCACGACATTCTAACCAGTAATTAAATGTGTGAGGTACATGTCCTCTTCTGCTGATGTGTGCAAAAGCAGCACATGAAACGCTTACCTTTAAGAGCATCCAGGAAATGCAGGTAAAGGGAGTGCTCATCTCCAGGAGCAACGTGGTCATAGCTAGATAGTGGCCAGCTTGGAGGCTGACTGAGCAGCCGAGAAAGCCGAGAAAGGCAAAGAGATGGTGGACAGCCAGAAACAGGTCAAATGTTCGGAAGGCCAAGTTGGACAGGTGGACTGCGACGTTTTCAAAGAAAAAGAAGCCCGTGGCCGTCGTGATGTGAAACCAGCACCAGTTCTGCTGGCCACGTGCCTTGTCGGCATGAAGCACAGGGTCCCCCAGCAGAGCCCACAGGCCTGCAGCCGTGCTCTGAACACCAAAGACTGCACGCGTGGCCGCCAGGTCCCAGAAGACCTTCTCTCTGGCCACCAAAGAACGGTACGTGGCATTCAGAGAGGACGACAGCTGGTGGCAGACCACAAAGACGCCCAGGTAGAAGACAAAGCCAGCGACCACCAGCGTGGAGCGGATCCCCCAGGAGGCATAGTCCAGGTCAAAAATGCTCTCTGATGCGCCCCCGTTGCTCACAGGATTCATCGTCCTCAGCTGTATTCTGAAGGAGTCCTGGGGCCAACACAGCCCAGGCCCTAACACAATCTTGTCCAAGAAAATGTTGTCAGTGAAGTGATCCCTGGGATTGTCAGGTATCCATCTTCAATCTAAAGAAAAAAAAGATCATTCATGTTATGTTGACTAAACAGAGGCAAGGACACATCACTCCCCCAGGCATGCCAACAGTATAATACAAAATGTTTCTTTTAATTCTGTACCTTATTCTTAATGCATTTAAAGGACGCATAAACATAGCAAGGTAACATCCACTGACAGTACAGGAAGAAAGAAAATGAAACTAAAGCTAGAGCGGTCCAGCTGTGAACAGGAGGCAGGAGAGCTGCTGGCAGGAACAGAAGATCCTATGCTCCTCCTGTGGGCACCCCACGAGCAAGACGCCCACTTTTACAGTAGTCCTGCTCAGTCACACAATTCAGACATCATAGGATAAAACATACTTAAGTCATTCCACCGGGATACACTTTGTTACAGCACTGAACTTCCAGACCCCAATAAAAGAGCACCATCTTGGTGCTCTGAGGTCTGTGGCAAAGTTATTTACGGACAATACTGGGTTTCAAGCAGTCCCCAGGTGTGCCTGGGTTCAAATCTCTGCTCTGCCATACACTGGTCACAGGACCCTCAGACTTTTCAGGGGCTCGGTTTCCTCCTACAAAAGCGCACAGTGAACGCTGATGTCACGACCTGGAGCAGCACCTGGTGCACCACAGGCCTCATAACTCGTATTTCAGTGTCATGATCACCACCACTCACTGCCATTCAGATGCTGCTATATAAAATGTCCTTAAAAAGAGTGGAGAAAACACAAGTCCTCGGGTCCAGTCTGTTAACTTGCAGATGGTCTGAATTGTTCAATATCTCCTCTGAAATGAGTGCCCTGGAGCCGATCTGAGAAGGATGCTCCCATGCCCACTGCTCGGCCCACTTCAGATAGACACAAGAACAGCTGAAGGGCTCTAGCCTGCTAAACCCACTGAGAGCCGTTCTGTTCATGTGGCTCCAAATGGTCTTCCCCAGGCTCTGAGAAGTACCTGCTGGATGAAGCCCAGGCCCCACGCTAGACTAGAGCATCTTAACCGTCTTCTCCAGCTCTCAAAATCAAGAGGGCAATTCTTCTTAACCCTGAAAAACATCGCCTTCAAGGGCCAGTATACAATGATCACATGACCTAAGGGCCACAGACAGAGTTTACCAGAACCTTGTTTCAAAAAACCTCATTTTCTCCTAGTCACAGTGTCTGCCTCCAGGCAGGAAAAACATTGTTAATTAAACGGGTGTATTTGCCTATTCAAAAACAAGTTCAACTAAAATAATCAATAACTACCATCAGAGATTACTACAAACAGCTCTACTCACATAAACCAGTAAACCAGGAAGAAATCAATAAATCACTAGACGCTTGTACTCTACCAAGACTAAACCAGGAGGAAGTTCAAACCAATAGACCAATAACAAGGGTTGAAGTAGAGGCAGTAATTAATAGCCTACCAACCAAAAAAAGTCCAGGTCCAGATGGGTTTACAGCTGAATTGTACCAGACATACAAAGAGGAGCTGGTTCCATTCCTTCTGAAACTGTATCAAACAATACAAAAGGACGGAATCCTTCCTGACTCATTTTATGAGACCAACATCATCCTGATACCAAAACCAGGCAGAGACTCAACTAAAAAAGAAAACTTTAGGCCAATATTCATGATGAACATCTACACAAAAATCTTCAATAAATACTGGCAAATAGATTGCAATAGCACATCAAGAAGCTTATCCATCATGACCAAGTAGCCTTCATCCCAGTGATGCAAGGCTTGTTCAACATACACAAATCCGTAAATGTAATCCATCACATAAATGGAACCAAAGACAAAAACCACATGATTATCTCAATAGATGCAGAGAAGGCCTTCGATAAAATTCAACAGCCCTTCATGCCAAAAACTCTCAATAAACTAGGTACTGATGGAGCATATCATAAAATGATAAAACCATATATGACAAACCTACAACCAATATCATACTGAACGGGCAAAAGCTGGAAGAATTCCCTTTGCAATCAGGCACTAGACAAGGATACCCTCTCTCACCACTCCTAAGAAACGGTATTGGAAGTTCTAGCCAGAGCAATCTGGCAAGAAAAAGAAATAAAGGGTATTCAATTAGGAAAGGAGGAGGTCAAACTGTCTCTCTTTGCAGATGACATGAATGTATACCTAGAAGACCCCATCATCTCAGCCCAAAATCTTCTCAAACTGATAAGCAACTTCAGCAAAGTCTCAGGATACAAAATCAATGTGCAAATATCACAAGCATTCCTATATACCAATAACAGACAAGAGCCAAATCAAGAGCAAACTGCCATTCACAACTGCTACAAAGAGAACAAAATACCAAAGAATACAACTAACAAAGGATGTAAAGGACCTCTTCAAGGAGAACTACAAACCACTGATCAAGGAAATAAGAGAGGACACAAACAGATGGAGAAACATCCCATGCTCATGGTTAGGAAGAATCAATATCATGAAAATGGCCATACCGCCCAAAGTAATCTACAGATTCAACGCTATCCCTATCAAACTACCAGTGACCTTCTTCACAGAACTGGAAAAAAACACTTTAAACTTCATATGGAATCACAAAAGATCCCAAATAGCCAAGACAATCCTAAGCAAAAAGAACAAAACCAGAGGCATCACACTGCTGGACTTCAAACTATACTACAAGGCTACAGTAATCAAAACCGCATGGAACTGGTACCAAAACAGAGACATAGACCAATGGAATAGAACAGAGACCCAAGAAGAAACACCACACATCTACAGCCTTCTGGTCTTTGACAAACCTGGCAAAAACAAGCAACGGGGAAAGGAATCTATGCTTAATAAGTGGTGTTGGGAAAACTGGCTAGCAATGTGCAGAAAGCAGAAACTGGACCCCTATCTGTCACATTACTCTAAAATTAACTCCGTATGGATCAAAGATTTAAACATAAAACCTAACACCATAAAAACACTAAAAGAAAACACAAGCAAAACCATCCAGGACATAGGCATAGGCAAGGACTTCATGACTAAAACACCAAAAGCATTGGCAACAAAAGCCAGGATAGACAAATGGGATCTAATTAAACTCCAGAGCTTCTGTACAGCAAAAGAAACCATCATTAGAGTGAATCGGCAACCAACAGAATGGGAAAACATTTTTGCAATCTACCAATCTGACAAAGGGCTAATATCCAGAATCTACAAAGAACTAAAACAGATATACAAAAAAAAAAAAAAAAAAAAAAAAAAAACCAAACAACCCCATTCAAAAGTGGGTGAAGGATATGAACAGGCACTTTTCAAAAGAGGACATATATGAGGTGAACAAACATATGAATAAATGCTCATCATTACTGGTCATTAGAGAAATGCAAATCAAAACCACACTGAGATATCATCTCACGCCAGTTAGAATGGCGATCATTAAAAAGTCTGGAGACAAACAGACGCTGGAGAGGATGTGGAGAAATAGGAACACTCTTACACAGTTGGTGGGAGTGTAAATTAGTTCAACCATTGTGGAAGACAGTGTGGCGATTCCTCAAGGATCTAGAAATAGAAACTCCATTTGATCCAGCAATCCCACTACGGGGTATATACCCAAAGAACTATAAATCATTCTACTATAAAGACACATGCACATGTATGTTCATTGCAGCCCTGTGCACAATAGCAAAGACTTGGAACCAACCCAAATGCCCATCAATGATAGACTGGAAAAGAAAATGTGGCACATTTACACCATGGAATACTACACAGCCATAAAAAAAGATGAGTTCATGTCCTTTGTAGGGACTTGGATGAATCTGGAAACCATCATTCTCAGCAAACTGACAAAAGAACAGAAAACAAAACACCACATGTTCTCACTCATAGGTGGGTGTTGAACAATGAGAACACGTGGACTCAGGGAGAGGAGCATCACACACTGGGGGCAGTTGCAGGGGTAGGAGAGAGACAGTAGAGGATGGGGAGGGAGGTGAGGGTAGGGAGGGATAATATGAGGTGAAATGCCAGATATAGTATGCACCTAAAGTAAAATAAATAAATTTTTTAAAAAATCAATAACTTTTCTCTGCAGCAATGTTAAAACAGTTTATTCTTTCCCTGTACTTTCATATTTCTGCTATCCACAACCAATCCATTTCCTGTTCTAACTTAAGTTTGACAAAATTTGGAGATTACATAAAATCGGCTTCAAGTCCCCAACACACTTATGAGCTTTTCTGCCTCCACCCTGGAAGACAGTCCAGTTAACACGCCAAAGATGTCATGAGAACCTGTGCTCCTGTTTTTCATGCTATCCTTTGGTTAAGGCCGTGGAATGGCTTCTCAGCAGCAGCAGGGAAGGCCTGAATTCCTTACTGTAATCTACAGGACTCTGCAGAACGTGATCCATCTATTATACCTTCTCTGGTTCCACTCTCCCCACTCCCTGCCTCTCACTCCATGCCACCACCTTCCAGTCCTGTGAAAACACCACACTCTCCTGTACCTCTGGGTCTGCAGCTACTGGGCCCTCTACCTGGAAAAGTCTTTACCTCCCTGCAGCTGGCACCATCTCACCTGTCAGGTCTTCGTGTAAAGTCCATTTGCTTCAGAGTCCCATGGGCTGGGTTAAGTAGCTTTGCTACAAGCTCCTGATGCATCCTCCACACACTCATTTTTGGTACTACAAGTACTTACGGAATCCTCACCTCTACTGGACAGCAAGCTCTGAGAGGGCACAGACCACACCTGGTTTCCATCACTGCATCTCCTCTGCCGGACGCAGCACCGAGTCCAAGGTGCGCCCTCAAGAAACATTTGTGGAACACATGAACAGATGCTAAATCATGCTCAAGGGGTCCAGTTTACCTAAGCCTGAACCCGTCTGCAAAGCTGCAAACACCAGAGCCTCAAGTTCTCAAAACTGGAAGGGACCTGTAAGGGATTCCAGCCTTTCCTTTCACATGGCAGGAACCCCACGCACACAATGAGGACATAGGAACAGCTACTGACAAAGCCTCAGATCCCACCCCTCCCCCCTCACCCAGTGTGCAG